AGTTTTAAGAAACGCCTAAAGGCACACAGGAGAGGAGCTGACCAGGCATACTGGGGCAGGGAGTTCCAGAGGATGGCAGAGGCTCTGGAGAAGTCCTGAAAATGAGCGAGGGAGGAAGTAACCAGGGAGCTAGAGAGCAGGAGGTCGTGGGAGGAGCAGAAAGGACAAATTGGGCGATATCTGCAGATGAGGTTGATGATTTAGCTGTTGACAATGTTGTGGATGGCCTTGTATGTTGTGATTAGTATTTTGACATTACAGTGCCATAATACTTGCTCTTTCCCAAATTATAAGGACAAGCAATGAGACATCATAGTCTGTAAAGTGGAGTTTGTCATTGGGTGCTGACTGGTATGAGTGAAATCTAAATGTTTGCAGAATAGATTTCCAGAAGACTCGTGTAGCTCTTCTGTAGATACTCAAGGTTGTGGTTATCGGTTGCTAAGGAATTAGGTATATTGGTCAGAAGTGATGAGCAGCAGACATTTGTGTTGTTTATTTTAGTTTGTGAGACATACCAGCAGGGTGCAATCCGGTCTGGTAAAATACATTTCAGTATGCAACATTTCTTTTCATGATACCCAGAATCTTTTGTTATCAGGCACATAGCAGTTTAACTGGCTGAGCAGTGAGCTATGAATAATGCATCTTGCACTATTTTATTGCTGGGAATCACAATTTCTCACTTGAGTGAACTGTCAGCTACACAAGAAAAAAGGTAACTATGCAGCAGCTGACAGTTTTCAAGACAGACCTAGTGCTTCAGGCTAAGGATAATCAAGGTTTAATCTCAAGTGAGCAGATAATCTATCCTTTAAAGAGCTGGTAATCATTTTAAAAAGGGACAAAATACAGACAAATTCATATTGTTGCTATTCACTGTGTTCTTTTTCTTTGTTATACAGTAAAATCCAGTACATGAAATTATAGCACCTTATGCTGAATAATTCTTCTTATTCAGCTTCTCTATTTAAATGAATAAATGATGCCAAGCTTAGTGTGGATTGGATTGTGTTGAAATTGTTGGTGTAAATTATGTGTTTATTATGTTTACCTCTGTTGCAATATGGTTAAAATGAGTTGTTACAGTAAATAAAAGATCCTGTATAATGTTTAACATGTTGATGTGATTTCAAAAGTAATACTCAATATTTTTAGCTCTGCAACTTTCATTAAAATAATAGCTTCTGATCCTGCCATGATGGTCTTTGTTCAGGCAGTTCCTGTTCAACCTCATTACACACGACATGAACGATTTACTAAAGGTGTACAGCATGTTTATTTTCAAATTGAATTTGTAGTTGGTGAATACAATGCCCAATCATGGGCAAGTGAAAAAAAAAATAACAATTTCCACATGATTGGATGATTGAAGTTTGCACAACTTCACTTTATCCTCTAATACATTTTCTGTTTGCAAAGTTAATGTGTTTAGCTGAGTTCCTGATCAAATGATAGCTGTCGCAGTGGTCACATGATCGGGAGCTGCTGACTCCCAATCATACCTAGAGACCAGGATCTGTCAATGACAACTGGAAGCATTTTCAGCACAGAAAACACAGCCACCATGAATGCATACATGTGGTAAGTGGGCAATAAGGCCCCCCTACCATTTTGCTGAAAAACCATTTTACTCAGTGAACCTCTTTTATAAAGAGAAGCCAATATGTTCTATATGTTCCATATAATGAAGTCAGCATGAAAAACATACACAGCTCAAACACAATCAATTAAAAGGGAGGTAAAACTGCTCATAACAGTTCAGTCACTTTCTCCCAGTTTCTGCTATGCATCACCAGGCACCCTCCATCTGTTCCATAATCCTTAAATTACACTCTAATTTTTCCCAGTAAAGGGGGAAATACACTGCCATTGACATTTTGTACAAATTGGTCCCCACACTCCTTTTTTAATAAAAAAAACTTGTCAAGCAGTACTCACCCTCTATATGGTGCACCAATGCCCCAATCATCCTCCCTTGTGGTCCAACTCAGGTTTCCAGTGTCATTCAGCTTATTTTCTGTGAGCTCAGGATGTTAAAGGATAGGTTCATCTTTTGGAGCATGTTACACTTTACACCCATATTTAGAGTGTAACGTGTAACATGCTCAAGGTCTCCCCAAACCACCCACACAGTCACATCATTCATTTACAGCAATCTGTGAATGAATGAATGAACAGCAAGTCCCATTTGCCACTGCAGCAGACGGCTTGTAGTTCTTAATGAACTGTGAGGGCTCTGATGAGCACTCTCATAGTTCATTGACACTTCCTCCAGCTTTATGATTGTCTGCCTATATGGAGGTATGGGCAGGCAAGCTGGAGGTAGTGTCTTTAGGCCTATCATATTATAAATATTATTATTTTAGTCTATATCCGAGAGACATCTTGATACGTTTATCTGGTGGTCTTTTTCTTTTAAACAACAACTGGCATACATTCACTTTGTACGTTTATTTTTTTGTTATTAGTGATTTACTTATGCCCCTTTTTGTTTTTAGTGTTCCTTCCCCTTTAAACTGCAACTAGCTTGTTTTTGTGTACCATAATTGATTTTTTGTGATTGACATATCCTTTAGTAGGTTCTTGCCCCCAGTTCATATGGTCCAATTTGTATTTTGTATAGTCCAGCAAGTGTTGGTCTGCTGTGCTTTGTAATTCCACTGGTCCAGCCCCTTGCCTATATATTGGGATCCTTTCCATCTTCAGGCAGGCTTGACAAAGGGGGATCTGCCCTGAAACATGAAGCAATGCCCAGGTACACTGACGCGTGACTTTATTCTGGCTGCTCTGCCTGCTTTGAGCTGTTTACTTGCGGTCCACAACAGCCACCATCTAAGCCATCACTTTTTGGCTCATCCTAGTTCTTGAGTTATGCCTGTGCTTCCTGTCCTGGCCATCCACCAATAGGATAGAAGCATGCTTACCATTCTCTATCTGCTTCTCTATTTGGATCATGAGAATAATGCTACCTGCTGGAACCTTGAGGTAATATCTGTGTTTTACCTTACTACATGTGAGTGCAAATTTGTGTAGCTTCTAATTCTAATACTTTCTAATAAATGCTACACTGAGAGTGGTGTGTTCTCTCTTTGTTTATTTCCACTTTTATTATCTCCACACTGCTCCCACACTGAGGTCATCAACCAGCTTATGCTCCATGTGCTTCCCTTTGAGGTCAAGTAGAAAGATGTTACCTGCTGGAGATCTTGAGTAATGCCTGTTTCTCAATTACCATATGTGAGTGCAATACTGTACAATCCTCATTTTTCACTTAGCTTTTACTAATACTACATTGAGAGTGGTGCTTTTTCTTTGTTGTCTATTTTTCATGCCCTTTTTGAGTCATTTAAGGAGCTGCCATCTTTGGGATGCCAATATAATATCCATCTTGAAACGTTGTAGCTGTTAGTATGTGAGTGCGACACCTACTTTTATATATTCATATACTACGCTTAGACTTACGCACTTTCTCTCTCCCCTTGTTTGTAATCTTTTATATCTATATTGGTGGGAAGTATTCTAGAACCTGCCTGGAGGAGAGACTGCAGATGCTGTCCATGTGTACTTTTTTGCATGGACTCCGTTGTTATAGACTGCTTCATTTAGGAAATTGTTTTTGGATATTACTAACATATTGTCCTTACATCCCTTTAACTATTAAACTGAGGATGGTAGGCTGGCACTATTCCTTTTGTGCCAGTTTTTTTTTCTATTATATACCTAACTTAGGTTAGGTATATAATAGAATTAACATAATTTTGCACTGTTTATGCCTCCAAAGAAACAGGAGGCTTGGGAGTGCCAGACCTTTGGAAGTATTACAGAGCTGCTCAACTAACTCAATTGATCCAAATCCAAATGTATTCTAATTATTATAGACCGGATTGGTTATCCTTAGAAGCACAAGACTATTACACCCTCCTAAGAGACCTTTTAATATGGGTTCACTCTAAAATTCGCAAAGTAGTTCTGTGCCCGACATTGTCTCATTCCTTACGCTTAGAAGATTCTTCTTATAAGATGATACTCCTCCAACCTCTGCATATACCAGTGGTCTGATATTTAACAATGCAGCGTTCCCACCTGGCCTGTATCCTCCTTAAGGTCAGTGTTGGATAAACAAAGGAATGTATCGTATAGGACACTTTCTTGATTAGAAGGGTATTTGTACACATTTTTACTTAATTCAACAACTTAGGATACTGCACCCTGTACTATTCCATTTGAGACAAATTCTACACTTCCTATACTCACTTCAGAATATAATTAGTGATATCAGACTGAGACTGACCTTTGAAAACAGTTGATTTCAGGATACGATTCATAGAATTGGAATCTCAATACTCTATAAATTAACACTGCTTGTGAATTGTCTTATAAACTGGCTTGGGAAAAAAAACATCCTGAGGCAAAGAAGACTGGAGGGACTGGAGCTCCAGAATTCATAAAGGAATTATGAATGTTGTACTAATTGAAGCAAACTATAAAGTCTCCTCTGGATGGTATTTAGTTTCCAAAGACCTATCTAAAATGTATCTGAAATGTATCTGGAGTTGTCTCCCTTATGTTTTTGAGGATGATGCCAAGTGGATACAATGTTCCACACATGGTGGACTTGAGCCAAGGTCAGACATATCTGGATGAGGGTGCATTCCTTGATATATTCTCTTATCATGGTGAATATTATTAAAAGCAATTGAGTTGCCCTCCTAAACAAACCTATTGACAACACTCCCATCCATACTCAAACGTTGGTTTATTAATTTGTTCCTAGCGGCTAAAATTGCGATTGCTAAGACATGGAAGAATTCAGTGGTAGATTTATCTTCCATGAAACGCACAACATGGATAATGCGTAACCTCCCTGGCGGTATTCCCGAGTGTAGCTCAGGGTAAAGTTTCAGTACCACAAGCGGTAACCCCGAGCTACACTCGGGTTTACCATGCGGCGCTGCACCACGATCCCTTGATCACTTACCTTGCCCTTTGCTCCCGCGATGTCCCTCCTGCAGTGTCCCCGGCAATGTAATCCGGCGGATGCCGGCATCTGTCATCTGGGTTCCGTCCCCTGCGAGCGCTGGGACGTACGGGGGACGGAACTGTGGGAAATTTGAAAATGACAAAAAGTGACATTCACTAAAATCACATAGTAAAACATTACTGTATCAAACCATTTCACATACATTTTGTCCCTAGTGCTTTGTCCTGTGCCCTGCCTGCATTTTTACTGTTCTTTCTGCCTGGAAACTGAGAAACGTCCATGGTGTCCAAAAAGCGTCCCTTTAGGTCAAAAGCGGTTTTAGACCAGCTAGAGAACAGCGATAGTAAATCAGAACCACTTGCAGAATTAAGTGATAATGACTCGTAGGGAAATTCGTCATCAGACACTGAAAACGATTTTGCGACTTTGCTCAGGGATGTGCGAACTTGACACTATATTTCAAATTTCAGTGTTTTTGGTTTGATTATATTATTGAATTAAATGTATTATTATTATATTATTATATTTTATGATTATTTATTAAATTATAATTTATGATTTCGTGTTTCAAGTTTTATCCTACCGGGATGTTTACTAGACTCTTGTTCGGACAGATTTCAGTGAGTTATTCCTAAAAATTTCAGGCCTACAATAAAAAAATACATATTTCCATGCAAAAAAAATGTACCACTTTGAGCACAGAAACATGGACATAATCAGACCGCTAGGGAGGTTAATTAAAAAAAAATGGTTAGTTTATTGTAGGACACCCAGTCAATGTTCAAGAGGGTCTGGAAACCTTGGATTTGTTATGTACAATCTTCTCCCTGAGAATGGATATTGAGGTGGTGGTGGAGATGGACACCTGGACAGGTTATCTCCTCATTTTTCTCTTCCTTTCCCCTTATTTTCTTCTTATTTCTTTCTCTTTTTCGATTGTTACTCAAGGAAGCCTTCCATACTAAACCCAATTATTGCAGCTGTTGAAGGACATATAAGCAAACTTTATTCATGTGTTGTGTGAATGTTTTTCTTAGCTCAAAGTCATGATAGCTGGTGACAGATGTAACCTTACTTCTCTAATGTTACATACTGCATAGAATTAAGCATATTATCTTATAGTTCTCATTTGGATTCTTTACTATAGACATTGTATTGCATGTTACTTTGGGATATGATAATTGTTTTTGTATCAATGTTTATGAAATATTTAGTAAATGTTATTGAAAAAAGAATTAGAAACCTTTCTTAAGAACAGACATTGCAAGATGTCTTTGGTTACCTTTATTAACCATAGAAGCTTCTATGCCATCTTTGATTTTGTACCAAGTGGTCTTAAACATTGCAGTGAAGTGTTAATAGTCTTGTAGCAGTAGATACGTATTAATACAAGAACTAAAATACTTACCTTTTGCTTGGCAGAACATAATTCTAGTGGTTAGTCACATATTGAATCTCTGCTGATGGCAAGGGGGGGGGGGGGGGCATTGCTAAATCAAGCTGCTGATTGGACATTGTTTTTTCATTTTCAAGCTTGTGCTAGAAAAATAATGGTTGGTATCTGAATGGTTTTAATGGGAGAGATATTTCTGACAGCTGAGGTCTTTTGTATTTTACACATTCTACTGTTTATAATCACCAAAGGAAAATGAACAGTATTGTGCTGGACATATACATGCATTTCTTGCTGACCTAAAGAGCGTTGATCTAAGCAGTAAATGGGAGTGCTTCCTTTTATTTTTTCAGCAATATGTCAATATTTCAAGCAAATAAGAAAAAAATCTGTGACCATCTCGCTATTTTATTGTAACTGTAAAACAAGACTTCTCACAGCTTCAATCCTAATATGACTTAGCAGGAAACACTTATTTTTTTTCTATTGAGCTTTCTCGTTTATGAAAAGCAGCAGCAGGATGAATCTGAAAACACAATAGTCAAAAAACATATAATTTGTATTCAAACTGCTTCATATATGAAAGCAAAAAAATATCCTGAAATGCTTATGCATTAAATAGTCACGCTACATGCAAAATACAGTAAGCCAACTGGAATAGGTAAAGATAATTATGTGATTTTTTTTTTTTGTTGAAAAAAAAAAAAGAAAGCGGAAACATTGCAGCTAAAATATTATTAGAACACTTGGCAACCCGGTATTATATCAAAGAATGGGAGAATGAATTTGGGATGGAATTTTTTCCCCTCAGATTCAGAACATTATTAGACTGTCCTGTGTATCATCCATCAGCAGCCCTATCCAGGGCTCTTATAAATTTCTGGCTCTTATAAATTTCTGACTAGATGGTATAGAACTCCTGCCTGGGTGGCCCAAATGTTTCCAGGGTCAGACCCTAGATGCTGAAGGGGCTGCAACCAGACCGGTATCTTTCTCCATCTGTAGTGGTCCTGCCCTAAGATTAAGGATTTCTGGGAAGCGATTACTCCCCGGATACAAAAGACTACCCTTACCCTGATTAAATGCACACCTCTACAGTTTCTGTTTCATGATGTGCCCGCCTCAGATTTTATAAAAAAGTGTAACTCTGCACTTGCTCAATGTACCAAAAAGTTTTATTCCAAGATATTGGAAGCGGGCTGTTTGCCCTATGTTGGCAGACTGGAAAAGAGAGGCGGACAGCATCATGGAGGTAGAACTGTGGATCCATAAATGTTAAGAATAAACATGCTCAATTCAAAGATACATGGTCAGGCTAGATGTACTACTCCTAAAGGGGTTTTACTGCTTAGCAGGCCCTCTTGTCTCGAAATTCCCAATAGCAGTTGCATATAAAGAGCTCCTCATAATACTGAATATATTGCACTGCAGACCCTTTATATGGTATGCTTCTTCAACACATGGCATTCCAAAATTTAAGATGGTTAATACAAATGTGGTTTTTTTATATATAATTACTTTTTTATTTCATTTTCAATGCTCTGTATGTGCCAATGTACTTGTACTTTACCTAGCAAGCTTGTTATTTCATGTTGGCATTCCTATGGAAGGCTGAATGATGCTGACTCTGATCCATGTGTACTTTTGATAGCTCATGAACATGCTTGAGATGTAAACTATTTGAAGTGGTGTATCTGGGTAAACCTGTCTTTTATCTATGGTTTACAGTGTGCTATTTATTTTTATTTGTTTTGTAAACTGCAATTAAAAGTTAATTGTAAAAAAAATATATATTTGAACGCTCAGTGGTATAATTGAGTACACTTGCATGGGTTCCTATAGTTTTAGGATTATGGATGTATAACTACATTTTTTTTCTGTTTATTAACCATTTTTTACAAACCCTAATAAAGTCATCAGAGCTACATAGAGTGTATGTATATATATACAGTGGGGCAAAAAAGTATTTAGTCAGCCACCAATTGTGCAAGTTCTCCCACTTAAAAAGATGAGAGAGGCCTGTAATTGGCATCATAGGTAGACCTCAACTATGAGAGACAAAATGAGAAAGAAAATCCAGACAATCACATTGGCGGATTTGGAAAGAATTAATTTGCAAATTATGGTGGAAAATAAGTATTTGGTCACCTACAAACAAGCAAGATTTCTGGCTCTCACAGACCTGTACCTTCTTCTTTAAGAGGCTTCTTTGTCCTGCACTCATTACCTGTATCAATGGCACCTGTTTGAACTTGTTATCAGTATAAAAGACACCTGTCCACAACCTCAAACAGTCACACTCCAAACTCCACTATGGTGAAGACCAATGAGCTGTCGAGGGACACCAGCAACAAAATTGTAGACCTGCACCAGGCTGGGAAGACTGAATCTGCAATAGGCAAGCAGCTTGGTGTGAACAAATCAACTGTGGGAGCAATAATCAGAAAATGGAAGACATACAAGACCACTGATAATCTCCCTCGATCTGGGGCTCCACGCAAGATCTCACCCCGTGGGGTCAAAATGATCACAAGAACGGTGAGCAAAAATCCCAGGACCACACGGGGGGACCTAGTGAATGACCTGCAGAGAGCTGGGACCAACCTAACAAAGGCTACCATCAGTAACACACTACGCCGCCAGGGACAGAGATCCTGCCGTGCCAGACGTGTCCCCCTGCTTAAGCCAGTACATGTCCGGGCCCGTCTGAAATTTGCTAGAGAGCATGTGGATGATCCAGAAGAGGATTGGGAGAATGTCATATGGTCAGATGAAACCAAAATAGAACTGTTTGGTAGAAACACAACTCGTCGTGTTTGGAGGAGAGAGAATGCTGAGTTGCATCCAAAGAACACCATACCTACTGTGAAGCATGGGAGTGGCAACATCATGCTTTGGGGCTGTTTCTCCGCAAAGGGACCAGGATGATTGATCCATGTACAGGACAGAATGAATGGGGTCATGTATTGTGAGATCTTGAGTACAAACCTCCTTCCATCAGCAAGGGCATTGAAGATGAAACGTGGCTGGGTCTTCCAACATGACAATGATCCCAAACATACCGCCCGGGCAACGAAGGAGTGGCTTCATAAGAAGCATTTCAAGGTCCTCGAGTGGCCTAGCCAGTCTCCAGATCTCAACCCCATAGAAAACCTTTGGAGGGAGTTGAAAGTCCGTGTTGCCCAGCGACAGCCCCAAAACATCACTGCTCTAGAGGAGATCTGCATGGAGGAATGGGCCAACATACCAGCAACAGTGTGTGCCAACCTTGTGAAGACTTACAGTAAACGTTTGACCTCTGTCATTGCCAACAAAGGATATATAACAAAGTATTGAGATGAACTTTTGATATTGACCAAATACTTATTTTCCACCATAATTTGCAAATCAATTATTTCCAAATCAGCCACTGTGATTGTCTGGATATTTTTTCTCATTTTGTCTCTCATAGTTGAGGTCTACCTATGATGCCCATTACAGGCCTTTCTCATCTTTTTAAGTGGGAGAACTTGCACAATTGGTGGCTGACTAAATACTTTTTTGCCCCACTGTGTGTATATATATATATATATATATATATATATATATATATATATATATATATATAAAAACAATAATTGTTAGGGTATGCAAGTAATCCTGAATGTACACCCATAAAGTTAACATAGCAAGCTAGAAACATACACCACACCATCCCTTTATTTTTATTTTAACCAGTTTCTGCTTTGGGTAACTTCCCCCCCACCCCCACCTTAAATCCCACAATGCACTATATGTGCATTTTTGTAAAAGCAAAGGGTATATTCAAATAAATAAACATAACTGGTGCTGTTCTGTACAAATTGGGAAAGGATGCACAAAAAGAACACAAAGCACATTAAGTCAAGTGTTGTGAAAGTATCAGAGTCCCATGTAATAGAACAGTCAATGACGCGGGAGCACTATGAAAGATGAAAAGCCACTGCCATGACAATC